GTGGTGTCGTCCGCGTAGATCCCTACTTGGGAATCTATGATGTCGGGAACATCGTTGATGAAGATAAGGAACAGAATAGGGCCTAGGATGGAGCCTTGGGGAACACTTGCGTTCGTGGGATAGGAGCTGGAGGAGAATCCGTTGAGAACGACCTTCAATACACGGTTTGACAGGAATGATTGTATTAAGTCAAACAATCGACCTGAAATTCCATAACCCCGAAGCTTGCGAAGAAGGCCGGCATACCAAACCCTATCAAACGCTTTGGAGATATCTAGAGCCACAGCACGAGCTTCTCCGTTATTATGAAGATCTTGGTAAACAATTTCAGTTATGGTCGTAAGCACATCAGCTGTAGAACGGGCAAAGCGGAAACCATATTGCTTATCGGAGAGCGGATCATGGGATGTAAGGTGCTTAACCACTTCGGCGTTGATTAAAGGTTCGAAGACATTGCCGAAGAGGGGTAGGAGACTGATAGGACAGTAATTAGAAGGGTCTCCAGAGTTCTTAAAGACAGGAACAATGGATGAGGACTTCCAACAGTCTGGAAAACAAGATTGAGGCAGTAGTTATATAATTTGGAGAGGGCAGGGTCAGTTCAGGTGCACATTTCTTCAGGACAATGGCTGGTATCCCATCTCCACAACTAGCCTTGTGGGAGTCTAAATTAGAGATAATGCCCAAATACGATGACGGGGTTATGTGCCACTCGCTCAATAGAGCCTCAGTTCTAAGGGGGAAATCGGGTGTGGCTACACCAGAAGAGTCGAGCGTTGAATTGAATGAGAATTTCCGAGCAAAGCATTCAGCCTTGTCGATAAAAAAGGTCCGAACTTCGAACTGGGTGAACAAAGCAGGTATAGAGGGTTTGCTAATGTTAAGTTAGGTACCTCTACGAAATCAATGAAAAAAGAGCATATTCTGATGAAAAAGATGCCAAACTTTACGAAAACAAAATTTTATCGTCTAAATGCTTATGTTATTATGAAGAGGAAAGACCAAAGTTTTTTTTAATTATTTTTAAAAATTTATTCTTCTTTTTAGAACATTCTAAATTTTGATTAAAAAAACCTTGTTTCTCTTTGTACCAACCGGAACTAGTAAATAACATATATAAATTTTAGCATGTTTTTTTGTATGACACTGTAGCGGTTGTTTACATACACCACGCCCACAAAATACTCAATAGCCATTGGATAGAAAATAAGCACTATTTTCTATAGGACAATTTATGCATCGCATGAGGCACATCAAATTTTCTGAAGTTTACTTTGCCAAACCTGGTTTAGAAAAAGTCAGTGATTGGTTGATTTTTGACCAATAATATAATATAACACTCCTTTCAACATTTTACCCGCTCTCGTTCCTGGGGCCTATTCAGAAAGTATGAATAACACGAAAATCAAAGAAAAGAACAGTAGTAGAACAGTAAATCTCCAGAACTCAACCACGTACGTGAATTCTCATTCTTCTACTCACACACACACAGACACAAAATTACAATTGCACTACGCTGTGAACTGTCTGTCCAAAAAGCCAAGTAACCAACTCAAAATTCTATCATTCTTTTGTACAACTTTCTCATACTTAAACTCAGTTATCACCTTTTGCTGAACTTTGAACATTTTAAACAAGAAAGTTCTTGTAACACATATTTACAATCTCACATCAGTACAAGGGGAACTACTTCCTCTTTCTTAACTTTGTTTCACCAAACACAATTGTTTTAAAACAAAATTTTTTCAATACATGTTATTGTTGATTACTGAATAACTCAAAAAATTTTTGTTATTCCTTCTTTGTGTTTCTTTGTAAAATTTAAATGTGATGTTTAATCAAAAAACGCAACCTTCACCAAAGCCTTCTTAACAATTTTATACCAAATCTCATTAGCACGCCACAACACATATTAATTTGGAAAATCTTGCAAAAATAAAAATAATTGTTAATGAAACTTTCAGAAACTATTCACAGATGATCGAAATTATTATAAATATGTTTGTTTTTTTTTTATTAAAGTCATGGCAGAAATATTTTTTTATATTTATTACCCACCTCCCATAACTAATTTTATGAAAACGCTAGAAATTCGATCGCATCGGGTTTAGTGATTACAACAGTTAAAAGCACAAGGCTTTGAAGAATGCAAATCATGATTTTTATTTATTTATTTTTTTAATTGGACCCCACGTACCTGAAAATCAGCTCTGAATTGTAACATACAAAACTCAATAAAACAAAAATATTATTTAATTTCAAATGCTTTTATTTGTTTTTAGTTGTTTTTATGAATATGGACAATATTTTCTGAAAGCAAAAATGTTTTTCAATGAATTTTTAATACAATTATTTGTTATTTCTTTAATTATAATAGATTTTTACACTAAGTTGTTAAAATATAAAATTAGTTAAAAGCCGCATCAGGTTTCCTAAGTGTCCTTATGAGATAGATCATTTTTAGCGCTTTGTAAATTGTATCGTTTTGTTGCAGGCCCGGTAGGGTGCAGTGCTGGTTTATTACGAGGTGGCCTTGTGCCAGACACCACACTAAACTACCGAGTCCACAAGCAATGTATAAAAAAAATAAAAAATGCGTGAATGAACAACGAAGGAATGTGGTTAGTCCACACGTGCATAAATTAAATATAAGATAGCCTGCACAGAATGACAGAAAAAGACTGGATTCAAACAAGAGTAGTTTTTTTTATTAAATAGAAGAAAACAAGTAACTTATCTAGTGGTAGAGATCAATGAAAATGTTCCGCGCCAAAACCAGAAGGCAAGATGGCTAAGGCGGGAAAAGTTCTTGAGGAAGAAGGTTCCAGAAAAGTCAATCTACTCGGAATATTATACATACAAAGAAAAATACTCACTGCGAGTTTTTTTGTTAGTGTGAGTGTAATGTTATGTATATTTCTTTTTTTAGGTACTGGTTCAAAGCAGATTAGAGTTCGATGAATGTGAAAAGTTCTGTTCCCTTGCTAGTGGCAAGGCAGGTTCGGACAAGACGTTAGTCACTCGACGAGAAAATTCTAGTCATCCAAAGCGTGTTGTGAGGACGAAGACGTACGTACTAAGTTTCTCTGATAGAAAACCGGAGGAAGTTCCTCTAAGGAGTTAGTCTTCGGTCGAGGAAAAGGTGGCCGATAGAAGCATCGATTTGATGAGAATTATTTTGCGACGAGGCAAAAGGGACAAAGAATTAATTATTGGTGATTGCATCGTAAGATATCCCTCGTCTCTCAACCTTAAATATCGACAGGGATAAATGAGTCTCTGCTTAGGTCCGAGTTTGGATCACGACTAACTTTTTGAACCAACAGTTTGTCCGTGACGTCAAAGAAATTTCGCGGGAAGATTTCAAAAATCTAATTTGCATAAGAAGGGATAGCAGGTAGCTTGACTGACGACACAAACCAGTTTACTGCTATGTCTGACTGAAAGAGGAAGGAAGGGGTGTGAAACGCGCGCGCGCACACGCGAGTGTGGAAGAAAGGGAGGAAACTCGCGCGCGCGTAGAATGTTGTAGATGGGATAACGCAGTTATCCCATAGTTTTGACCAATCAGAAGATCCGCAGTAATTAAATAATGTAATTTTGTGTTCATAAAAATCGTTAAAATGGCTTAATTAAAATCGTTAATTAAAAAAGTACGGAAGGTCACAAGCAATAAAACGTCACGTGTAAGCGTTCTCCGCTGAACGTCGATTACATTATTGCAAATTCTTCGTGCTATCGCACCCGACCGGAAGTTACTGCCGGCTACTCAAACGTCTGAAAGCGTCACCGCGGAAAACAGAACGAATGCCGTTAACTTTCGGTGAACGATACACAAAAAGCAAAAGAAATGAAACATAAACATACACAAGTCCTCCTAACTAAAAATAATTACCAGAAACTACTTTATATACACATGGTGTCCGAATTAAACCCATGTGCACAGTCAAAATGCGGAAGGTAATTTTTAGTCATCAACCAAAAGACATTGCCAACTGGCTACAATGCTAAACGCAGCCGACATAAACACAGCCGATTTCTTCCACCAAACTAACTCGGCTGATTTGGCTCCGGGGTAGAGCGACGTGCTTCCCCTCTCGCCTTCACCTGGCCGACCCACGCCGCTGACTGCACGAAGCAGCCAACCTCAGCAGCAGCGGGCGACCCAACTTTAACAGCAGCAGCATCGAGCCGACCTAACTTCAGCAGCAGGCCGACCCAACCTCAGCAGCAGCAGCCGAACATTATGTGCGATAGTCATTTTTAGGACTAACCTGGCTACATGATATGCGACAGTCCTTTTCAGTACTAACCTGGCCACATGATATGCGATAGTCCTTTTCAGGACTAACCTCGACTCAACTTCAGCAGCAGCAGCGGGCTGACCCAACTTCAGCAGTAGCAGCGGGCTGACCCAACTTCAGCAGCAGCAGCAGCAGCGGGCCGACCCAACCTCAGCAGCAGCAACAGCAGCAGTCGAACATTATATGCGATAGTCCTTTTCAGGGCTAGTCTGGCTACATGATTTGCGACAGTCCTATTTAAGACTAACCTAGCCACATTATATGCGAAAGTCCTTTTTTAGAACTACCAAGCTGCATTCTTACACGACTATCATTCTAAGGACGAACAGGCTACACCAGCACCGTCTGCGCCGATCCTCTCTCTTCTTAAACGCCGACGCGCTCTTTACAAAAGGGCAGACATCCGGGGATCGACGGGACCACGAATACCGCTGTTTTATCTGCCTGCTTCAGAGCTGCCGCCTTGAACCCTAACAACGATCCTTCAACTGGCACTCCCTGACTTCACGATCAAACTACGCCAAACAATTCCTGTACCTACCTTTGTCCAGATCGACAAATAAATCCGACGTTTGTTATTCTAAACCTCTGCCTTTGTTCCTCATTGTCTTAGCTGTTCACACCTTTCTTCGTTAAAAAACTTGCGGAGGCGACATTCCTTGTGGTGACTTCCCGACGTGAGACAGCTAAACGATTATGGTCAAAAGTGATTCTTCAGATATGACGGCCGCGATCATACCGCTACCTGCTTACCACCATAATGCAAAGAACTGGTTCTTGCAGGTAGAATCGATCTTTTCCATGTTACGCATAAGTTCACAGCGAGCCAGATTCGCAAACGTAATGCAGAAACTTCCATCCGATATGATGGACGAGATTTCTGATGTCCTCTCCGATTTGCGCGAACATGTACCGTATGATCACTTAAAGGAAGCGATCCTCAAGTGTACTGGGCATTCTGAGGAGGACATGATTCAAGAGATTCTACGGAACGTCACCAGAAGTGACAAAACGCCAACCCAGCTTCTCAGGTATATGAGGAATCAGCTGGGAAAGCACAATGTATCAGAAAAGGTTATTCGAGGCTTGTGGCTGGAGCGTTTGCCCAAATCAGTCGCTCAGATTATCGCCCAGATGACGAAAGCCACACCTCTGGACGATTTGGCAGAATCTGCTGACCTGGTTTTTGCGCAGTTTGACCATAGCGTTAACGTAGTTCACCCTCCCGACACAGCAAAGCACGAACGCCACGAGCGGAACGAGACAGAACAGGCGTTGGCCGACCTGCAAAGACAAATTCGAGAAATCCAGATCTCCCTGCGCCAACGGACAAAGAAACCAACCCCATCTCGACAACAACGGAGTCGAACCCCTAGCCGAGAACGGCGAAGCGACCAGGGCATGTGTTGGTTTCATCGCACATTTGGCGATAGAGCCAGGAACTGTAGAACTCCCTGTACACACCCGTCAGCCCGGAGAAACAAGTAAACCGGAAAGTGGCGAAGACTAACTCATCCGGTGCCAACACGCAATGTCGTCTATTCTACGTTTGGGATCGCCGGAACAAACTGAAATTCCTAGTAGACACAGGTGCGGCCATCAGTGTGGTACCCTATCAGAACGACCACGCTGCTAAGCCGACCCTGCTCAAACTACGAGCTACGAATGGTTCCGCGATAGACACGTACGGAGAAAGGACCCTCACTCTGAACATCGACATGCGACGTGATTTCACTTGGACATTCACTGTGGCCAACGTGAAGATACCTATCCTCGGCGCAGATTTCCTGGCGCATTACGCACTGGAGGTCCATATAAACCCTGGGACCCTATCCGACACAACTACGAATTTTCGCGTCTTAGGTACGCCTACACGTCCAAACCCTACAGGAATCAGCGTCACAACATGCCATGGTCGCGAGTACTTAGATCTCCTGACACGGTTCACAGACATAACATTGCCACTCCAAGCTACTATCACAGGTGACCACCAAACTCAGGACCATATCAGAACTAGAGGTCCCCCTGCACACTCCCACACGCGACGACTTGCTCCACACAAACTGACGTACGCCAAGGAACAATTCGACAAAATGCTGAGTGACGGCATCATTCCTCCTTCCGATAACCCTTACGCCTCGCCACTGCACTTAGTGCCTAAACCTGGTGGCAAAGAATTTCATCTGTCGACTACCAAAAATTAAATGCATCGACCGTACCAGACCGCTGCCCTGTCCCTCATATCCACGATTTTGCGTCCGGACTGGAGGGTGCTCGCATCTTTTCGAAAATCGACCTGACAAAGGCATACCATCAGATCCCCGTCGCTGCGGAAGACGTTCCTAAGACGGCAGTTACAACACCGTTTGGCCTATATGTTTCTTAAAATGCCATTCGGCCGACGTAACGCTGCCCAGACCTTCCAACGACTCATAGATGAAGTCCTGCGCGGACTACCACACGTATACGCTTACATCGACGACATCTTAGTGGCCAGTAAAGACGCCGACTCTCACAGGCAACACCTGCGATTAGTTTTCCAGCGACACTCACACTATGGTCTGAAGCTGAACCTGGACAAGTGCGTTTTCGGGGCGCCCAGTGTCGTCGATTTTTCTCGGGCACCACACCGACGCTAACGGCATAGCACCTCTGCCAGACAAGATCAGCTCGATCCGGGATTTTACTACACCAACGTCCATCAAACAATTGTTCGGTATGATCAATTTCTATCGTCGATTCATCCCAAATTGTGTCACTATTCTCCAACCACTGACGAACCTACTGCAGAGAGGGAATAAGGACATCGAGTAGGGGGGAGATGCTCTGCACGCATTCCACACGGCGAAGGACGCATTAGCCAATTTCACTAGGGTTTCACATATTAACGACGACCCGAAGATGCGACTGTCCCTGACAACAGACGCGTCGGACGCAGGAGTGGGCGCTGTGGTTGAGCAGGAATACAATTCACAACGCGAACCTATCGCATTCTTTCGCCAGCCCAGAGAAAATACAGCACCTTCTCACGAGAACTCCTAGCTATCTACCTGTCTATCCGTTATTTCTGACATCTCCTGGGGCGGGGGCAGGTATTTCACAATCTTCAAGGATCACAAACCGCTGACCAACGCAATGAATGTCAGCGCAGACAAGTACACATCCCGTGAAACACGTCACCTCGACTACATCTCACAGTTTACGACGGACATCAGACACGTCAAAGGAAAGAACAACATCGTCGCAGACACATTGTCTAGAACAGACGCCAATACCCTGGATAGCGATATCCTGAGCCAGGAGCTGATAGCCGACAAGCAAAAAGACGATACGACGATACCTGACCTTATCAAGGAGACTTCTTTGAAACTCCAGGAATTCCCGTGTCCGTTCAGCAATAAAACTCTTTTCTGCGACACCGCGCTGGATACTCCGAGACCGTACATTCCTCTATCTCTAAGAAAAAAAGTATTTCTCCATCTCCAAAATCTATCCCATCCGATCAAGCGAGCGAGCGTCAAGCTTATCGCCGATCGATTCGTGTGGCCTAACATGAATTCAGACATCAGAAATTGGGTCTCAACCTGCAAACAAAGTCAAAAATGCAAAAGTCAAAAAAAATACCGGTCCAAGCTAATCGTAGCCGTGATCGAATCTCAGACAAAGGCCGAGAAACGATCCAAATTTGTCAAAACTCGACGAAATTCGTCGAGCGAGGATATTTACTTGACTCCCACGGGGAGCGAGGATATTTACTTGACTCCAAGGTCGGTTTAGCGTGGGAGACCCGAGTGTTTCCACTCAAGGGCCACTGGTCCCAAACTGGTCATAGCACGTTGAAGCTGGTTAGAGCTTAGTTCAAAGCTAGTCATGGCTTGCCTTAGCAGGTCCAGGCCGAAGCCAGTCCAAGCTAGTCGTAGCCGTGATCGAATCTCAGCCAAAGGCCGAGAAACGATCCAAATTTGTCAAAACTCGACGAAATTCGTCGAGCGAGGATATTTACTTGACTTCCACGGAGTCAAGATGTGACACAAGGCCGGTTTAACGTGGGAGACCCGAATGTTTCCACTCAAGGGCCACTGGTCCCAAACTGGTCATAGCATGTCCAAGCTAGTCAGAGCTTAGTCAAAGCTAGTCATGGCTTGTCTTGGCAGGTCCAGGCCGGAGCCAGTCCAAGCTAGTCGTAGCCGTGATCGAATCTCAGCCAAAGGCCGAGAACCGATCCAAATTTGTCAAAACTCGACGAAATTCGTCAAGCGTGATATCTGGTTGAAGAAATCGGCTGTGTATATGTAGGCTGAGGTCGGCATCGTAGCCGGTTAGCGATATCTTTGGGGTGATGACTGAAAATTAACTTCTGCCTTTTGACTGTACACATGGGTTTCATTCGGAAACCATGTGTATATAAATAGTGTCTGGTAATTATTTTTAGTTAGGAAGTTAACGGCATTTGTTCTGTTTTCCGCGGTGACGCTTTTAGACGTTTGAGTAGCCGGCAGTAACTTCCCGCCGATTGCGATACAGCGAAAACAGAAAAAAAACATTTGCTGGATAAAATGTCAGGTTCGGATAGACTGGACTGGTAATCTTTAGTAAAACCGATGGTAGGTAACTTGATCGTTGGTCGGTTTTGCTTCCAGGTTAGGTAATAGAAGTGTGGTTGGACGTGTCGACGACGGGAAGCTGAGAAGTGGTCGATCTGAACGTGTCGACGGTAGGACTGGACCTGTCGACAACAGGAGGCTGTGATCGATCTGGTGGTGTCGACGATCGGACTGGACGGGTCGACGACGGGAAGCTGGTCAAAGGCTGGGCAGGAACATATCGGTGATGAGAAGCGGGTTAGTGGCTGTACAGGAATGTACTAGCGAAACAGGAGACTGTGAATCGTCGGAGATTTTCCGATCCGCAGAGTAACACATAGATACTACACCGCAGATCTGGCCCCAGGCCGTCGATCGAAAAAGGTTATCGTTGTTGAAGAAATCGTTTAAGTTTGGCAATAGCAATAGTTCAGTTTTTGATGATTGATATTTCGCAAATTACTTTGGGTTAGTCACAAGGTTAAGTTTGGTAATGTACGTGAAAAATTTGATCTCGGTATTTTGTATTGCGCGTAAAAAATATATCACGTCGTAGCCACCAGTTTATAGTGGGTTATTGTAGGGTCCGATTTGGGCCGTGTTAGGATTATTCCACTAGAAGGGATATATGAATGAGTAAATAAAACACGATAAACTACATCTTAAGAACAATCAAGTCATAATATAGACATTAATAAGTAGTTTCGTATTGTACAAAAATAATAAAAAGTAATGTTCATAGCACAAGGTTGGTATTTAAGTAAGATTAAATGATTTTTTGATATATTTCAGTGGATACAAGAGTTTCATTTGGAATATCTCCTGAGAATAAGAAAAAGGAGGAAGAATGAATGAGAGAAGTAAAGTGGGGTGAAAATAACGAGAAAGGTGTGAGGAGTGGTAATGGTTGTTGAAGCCGATACACCATTAATGCATCCTCTCAAAGTATTCGTCTCTCTGTGTCTTCTCTGATTGTCTCTTGTTGAAATCTCATTCTTTTTTCTTTTAGACAGCGGTCTACTTATATTGTTAGCGAAGTTGAAAGAGGCTCCGATTAAGTTGTTGATTATTTCAGGCGCGCTCATTTCTTATTGGTTAACATATATTTATTTAGGATTGTATTTAATCATCTTCAACCGGAAGTTATGTGTGGAGCCTATTAGCACAAAGCTCGAAATATGTCATTATGTTTTAAGCTATGAAAGCGGTAACTTTCTGTTTCTGCTCTTAGTGTCACTCAGCCTTATTGTGCTAGTCATTTTTGCTTTATTCTACTATAATTCAGTGCTTATTTACTTAGTATATTCCTACTATTTCTTGTATTCTAATATGTTTTTCGATTACAACTTACTTCCAGCACGTTGATTGGTTTCAGACAGGTGTGCGGCGCTTTCGTCCAAGGGTTAGGTCTCACCGATACCACCGCCGGGCATACACGAGTCCTCGTGCAGGCCAACGACAGCACCAATAAGTAAGTCTGCCTGCCCTCCATGACATGCCGTCCCCACATCCATCTTCTCCAATCAATTTCTACTATCATTTCACGGGATAGGTTATTCTAATGAACTCGCCGCCGCCACGCACCCAAGTATACACTTTACTATGATGACACGACGGTACCGAATCCATCCACCCCATCCTCTTTACTTTTTGATTCAATTAGTATCGTTAACTATCAATATGATCTTGAACAATCTTCGCTCCAATGTTTTTTCTCTGTGACCCTCTATCACTTCATGGCTCATTCATCAGAGCCTAGACAATTCATTTCACTAGTAATAAGCCACTATTACTAGATATGTTCCGGTAATGTTCCTTAATTACCAATTCTCTTCGCATAAGACATTACAAGTCTGTACTAACAGTATCACCAATCTTCCATATTCCAAAACCAAAATCTTCACG